AAATAGGATTACAGAAAAAAAAACAAAATAAAAAAAAAATTGTAAAAAAAAAAGCCAAAAAGACTTTTTTCTTTGCTGCTTTTGCTTTTTTTTTAATTTGGTGTCCTTTTTGTCTTTTCTTCTTTTATAATTAAATTTTCAATTTTCTTATATTTTCTTTTTAGTTTTTAACAAAAGTTTATCGTTCGTTTTTCGAAAATTAATTATATAAACAAATAAAATATAGGAGGGTTGATTCGACTAACTTTTAGGTTTCTGTGTATTGAAGTAGTTTTAATATTAACTGTTTATTGGGTGGCCGCATCGGCAGGTCTAACGCACCTAAATTAGCACAAGTGTGCCGTTATGCGACTGACACTCCGTGACCACCATTAAGCGTAACATTACAGGTGACCTATCTCAGCCACCAGGTCCTTTTGAGAGATCTATTCCTAATTAAATCCCCATTACTACTCTTCGATATCTCAATCCATGTGATCAGTCTGGCTCCGCCCAAGGTCGCACTCTCGCAGATGTAATGAAAATGAGTCCCCTTCCTTTTCATCAACTGGCAGCAGCAGTATTGAGGAAAAATGCAAGCACAGCCATAGATAGGGCTTTCAACCTGCAGTCGATGCATGGTAGATAATATCCCGGAATCCAAAGAAATGTGGATGACAAATCCAAACTATGGCGAGCGCACACTCCCCGATATTAAATGTTAGTCGTTCTAGTTTTTGCTCGTCTGCTTTCCTTTGAAATTTATTTACAATTTCCCATTCAGTTAAAGGAAAATAATAAGATTGGCTCCCGATATTGGGGTCCAGGAACAAGGACGTTAAAATAGCAAATTAAATTTTATAGCAAAATTTTTCTTTTCACATATTTATCGAAATTGAAATATTTTTCAATATTTTATCTTTGAATGTGTGTTGAATGATGATATTACCACAACTATAATGAAGCTTAGTGTCCAGTTTATAAGAAGAGTGTTTAAATGGTATTACAAACGAAGGGTCGACTATACTATACTTCTAATGCATTTTCAACAAAAATGTACAAACAATTTTACAATTATAAAAACTATAAAAAAAAACAACAAATTACACGAAATTAAGAACTTAAACAATGAATGCTGTGTCCATGTTTTTACAATTTGGGTTAATAAAAAAAAAAATCCAATAAAATTCTACTAACATATTTTTCCATTATAATTCCCAAAGATGCACACGTACTTTATATAGTATATAAAATATAAGCAATACAATTTACAAGCGAAAATATAGCCGTCGCCATTTAAAATTGCTTTTCTTATTTCAATTCAATTTCCGATATTCATTTTTATATTTCAGTGTTTTTGCCTTAAAAAAAAAAAGAAATAAAGCAGATGTAAAGAACTTTTCTCTATAGAATCCTTTTTTTTTGTCATTTCCGGTTGCAAACAGACTTATAAAGCACTGAACAACAAATAAAGTGCAAAAAGAAAAAAAAATTATAGAAAAAGAAATGCGCTTTATTTTTTCATAAATAAAAAAATAAATTTTAAATTAAAATCGGGAATCGAAAAATGAACGAAAAAAAACTTTTGAATTTAATGTAGGAAAAGCAAACAAAATTTAATATTAAATAGAAAAAGGATTAAATTTATTCCAGCACGTTTAGATACATTAGGAAATTGTATTAAAAAGTTTTTTATAAACAAATAGAGAAAATAAATCGACGAACACAGAATTCCGCACAGATATTAAAATAGGGATTTGCATTTGGGCGAGATTCATTCGATATCAGAAAGAACAATTCATAATACGGCAAGAATTCGAAAAATATTTTTTGCTAAATTTTTAGGAAAATTAATTCCGTTCAGATTCAACCATAAGGAGTGATAATCAAACCAATGGGATCGGTATCCTATGGCTCTTCTCACCTTGACTCATAGGATCTTTTGTTATTAGCTTTATTTTTAAACCTCTGACAAATCTCTGCTACGTATTACGTCCATTGAAGTTCGTCAGGCATCAGAAAAGGCCAAAAATCCTCGACCAAAACATCATAACCTTTAATGGACCACAGACTAAAAACCGCATGATCGGCCGTTTTTGTACTATTCTAAGTATAGATAAGTCAAGGAGATTAGCTGCCTCCTCCGCTCCATGAAGAGCTTAAAATAATACTATTAAAGGACATAATAGCTTTCTTGTATTCACACCCTACATCAGATAGATATGTGAAATACATTTATGAAATATTTATTTGAATTGAGGACAACAACTGCACAAGCCAGAGAGATTTGTTGTCACCTTGCCTGAAAAAAAAGAAATCATAGTGCAATAATTAAATACAAATTTATCTAGCTTAAAATATAACAAACATACATACATACATAGATATTTCTTTTACGTAAATATTCTTAATTTAAATATGCCAAGGATATTCAAAATCACATGCATTTAATTTATATATATTTATACAATACGAAAATATTATTTGGCCTATTAACACAATTTATATAAATATTATGTACACAAGTATATACACATGTATATTTTCATTTTTTTTTTGCGTCATCAAAATCAAAATGATATTAATTAAGAAAAAGGAAAATTATATCATAAACCATACCTAGCATGAGACTCAGTTATTAAAACAAAATTATTTTTTAAATATACTAGTCTTGTACTATATATATATACATAAATCCTTGTGTTGCAGTATTTTAAGTGTATTTAAAAATAACATGATTCTCTGTTATATGTGTTATCCTTAATTCAATTTCATAATGATGTAATTTTTTTTTTTATTTAAACTTCTCGACTTTATAATTAAAAATGAAAAAAGTAAAAATAAATGTGTTGAAGAAGAAAAAGAAGAAATATGACGCTGATAACATGCTGAGTTGACTTCTCTCTACTTTCGGGTTTTTAATAAAAAAAACGAAAGTACCCCCACCTATGAGCATTTTTTCAAAGTTAATTATAATATGCAGAGAAAAGGAAATGACATTGAATTTAATACTTGTACTCTATACACACATGCTTGTGATTAAATCAAAATTAAAATTAAATTAAAAAAAAAAAAATTTGCTTGCAAAAGCAACTGCAATTTAAAGATATTCAATTATTACGTAGGTACACGTACAAGTCCTTTAAATATTCTTTTGTATTGTGAATTTATATATGAAAGTATATGAATGATAGCCATAATTATCTAATTTATATCTAATATAATATATAGTAGATTGAATTAAATTACCGGGTATTTATAACAATTGTTTTCTGTTTTTTTTTTTTTCAGGAAGAACACAATATTATAATTAAAATTGTAATAAGGACGATAATAATGGTTGCATGGAAAAATTAGAAAAATTATTTTTAAAAATTACCATCAATAACAATTATCATATCTAGTCACATTATAGTGCGGTATTTGATTCCAAGCTTCTTTGACGAAGTCACGAGGAAGCTGTATGTACACGGACAACCCAGGCACTTATGGTTTGCAGGGCCATCTCGGGCAGGTTGTGGGGCTGCTCCGCGTCTGTCATGTTGTGGATGTATACCATGATGGTCGTGCCGCTCCTGCCTTATGGAGCAGTGGCATGGGCAAGAAGGGTGGCTCTTGGTACGGCTAGAAAAAACCTGAAACGATTACAAAAACTCGCATGCGTCTGCATCACAGGGGCTGTGAGAACTTGTCCAACGGTGGTAATGGAGGTGATTTTGGGACTAACCCCTTTGCACCTCGTTGTGGAGATGGCAACGGGGGCTGCCATTTTCAGGTTGGGGAGAAATGGAGGCGGAATAATCGGAGTGAGAGATCGAGGTCGTCTTGTCGGGGAGGTTCCGCTCCTATCGATGCTTCGAGACGACATGGTAAAGAGGTACGAAAATAATTTTGCCTCGTTGCTGAGTAACAGAACGGACTGGGAGCGTGACTTTTCTGGTCGCCCAGTGGGAACACACGTTATCAGATGGCACGCAGATGGGTCAAAGACCAGTATTGGGATGGGTGCGGAGGTATTTGGGCCAAGAACCAAATTCTCCGAACCTATGTGAACTTTTCCGAGTGTGTTTCGGGCTGAGTTGCACGCAATCACTTTCGTCGATTTCGAAAAGACCTTCGATAATTTCAACTGAGATGAAACATGGCAATCCTTAGCAAATAAATTTATTCCAAACAAAATAAGATCGGCGACCGGAGTCAAATAAGGAGAGCAATATAGACGACGTTTTAAGACAATACACACAAAATCATGCAAGAAAAACTACATCATCTGGAGTAAAACTCCAGAAGAAAAAAACATTGTCGGCCTCCGAATGAATTGGAGTAACGGGAGGGAAGAGTGTAATTCGAAAATAAAAAAAGGGCAAAACCTATTTAATATTAAATGGCATTTTTTAACAATTTGTGTAGTAATTGCAAAAAAAAACAAAAAAGTTTTCCTTTTAACACATAAAACAAAAACAATAAAAAACGAAAAAATTCATAGTGTCAAAGTTTCCACAATAAAATTTCATTTTGTCTTGTTTTTTTTTTTATTAAACACTAAAAATATGTAAAACTCAACATAAAAAACAAGACAAACAAAAAAACAGGGAAAAATTAAACTATAAAAGTGGGAAGTCCTTTAGAATTCTTATTTAAATATTTTATTTTTTTTATGTTTTTCTTGTTTTTTTTTTTGTTTCAAAACTTTTGACATATACAAAACATTCCAAATATACTAAAAATGTGGAAAATTGTTTTGAATTGAAAAGCTCTTTGAGATGAAAATTTGTTTATTTTTTTTTTTTGTTCTTTTTTTTGTCAAAAAGGTTAAGTGAAAATCAAACAAAATAAAATGGAAGAAGTGTGCAAAAAAAAAAGAATATAAAAAATGAAATGAAAAAGAAAAGAAAATGTTCCGTTAACAAATAAAAACGTCATTGTTTGGTCGATACAAATACCGTTATTTAATTTTTGCTTCTCTTTTTGTTTTTTCTTGTTTTTGTTTTTTTTTATTTTGTGTGTCTTAACTTTATTACGAGCGTGTGGTTTTGTTTTGTTTTTATTTTATTGTTCTGTTGCTGTTGCTGTTTATTTAGTTTTGTGCGTGACTTCATTTTTTATACTCTAAAGTTAAATCAACTTTTTCACCCACTCTCTCTCTCTCTACTTCTCCTTCTGCCTCTTTCTCTTTCTAATTTATTTAAAAACAGATACCAATATCTCCTTGTATATGTAGCTCGATTAGATACCTAAGAAAGGGTTGTTAAAAGAACATGCGAAAGGGTTTTAAATTAAATATTTAATACTTACAACATAATTTAATATTGTTGAAAAAGTTCTAGAGGGTCACAATTAGTCTTAAGAAAACGAATAAAAAAGAAAACTGACAGAAAAATTGTAATGAAAAATATTTTTTTTTTATTGTCAAATTAATTAATATTGATGAAAGTTTTAGTTGAAAGAAAAGAAAAATAGAATTTCATTGTAAGAACGAAAACAAAAAATTTAACATTAAAACACTCAAAAATCGTTGTAATCTTTGTGACGCCTTAAAATAATATTTTGAATTTAAAAAAAAAATGCAGTTGAAAAAGGATAGCGTGATAAAAAATTGAAAATTTTTACTCTAGGATTTGGTGTTACGTGATGAAATTGGAATTTAAAATTTAAATTAAAAGGGAACTGATGTAAAAAGGGAACCAAGAGAAGATAGTAGCCGTATGCGATTACAATGAGTTTAGAAGCTATACGATAGTTTGTCGCGAAATATGAAAATTTCTTTAACTTTAATATTTTGACAGCAGTTCTGCCAAATGTTAAAGTTATTAAGTGATACATTTACAGATATTTTTCTTTATACTTGAAGAATTGAAGAGCTATAGTTTTCTTTTTCTCCTTTTTTTGCTTCCGGTGGAAACATAGGGCTGCAATAAATCCTCTGAATAGCGCTCTGCATTTTGGCTATCTTTGATATATGTCCCGTTTGGTTCTTACATCGCCTGCTATGATGCTGCCCAGATAGTTGAGTTCGGCCACGTCATCAATTCGATTATCACGTAGTTAAAAGGGCATATTATCTATTGTGTTCAATCTCAGCAGACTCCAACTTAATTGCTCCCATGGCCGAATTTTAATAATACGAGTAACAGTATTGTTCCGTTTCTCATAACAATCATAATGTTATTGTGCTTAAAATAGTCAGAGGTTGTCTATCCTTTAACCCTCGTCATCGCAACTTTGGTTCTTCTTTTTTATGTCTTTGTTTCTTGCCTTTGATTATCTTCTATTCCAATAATGTTCGTTTCTTCCAAAGAGAATAGTCCAAGCAGTCTAAAAATCTTAATGTTAATATTCAAACTTATATATAATTTAAGGAATAAATTTTTAATATACAATTAGACTTTATATAAAGAAACATTTTCTTACCTTTAATGATATTTTCAACTACGTTTTTATAATTTATTTATTTTATTTGGCACGTGTATTCTCGCGTGTAACATTTTTTATTTTTTTGAATACACAAGACAAAACTCATTTAACGCAATTTAATGTAAACGTAACTCATTTTTCCTTATATATGTTACATACAAGGTAAAAATTATTTGTTCAAGCATTAAAATTTTCTAAACATTTAATTAAATTATGTGAAAAATTTAATGTAAATAAAAAACTTTATATTTAAAAATTAAACTAGTCTTAATTTAGATTGTTGCAAGTTTATAAAGTTTACTAGAGTCAGGCTTAGTTGTCTGGGATAAGACATAACCGTAGATCCAACTCTTATTCTCTCCCTTTCCATTACATTTAAATAATGGATCTCCGTCATTTCCATACCGCTCATACTGCCAGACTTCACCTATTGGGATAAAAAAATCTGCTTTCCAGAAGAATATCTGCAATTAATATATTCAGTTTAAATGAAATATTTTAATTTTCATTTGAAAATATTGCATACTTATAGGGGAAATTTAAAAAAAATTCTACATAATAACGACAGTGCTACCCCCAAGTCAAACAGTTTTATATTAGATCACCCTATTATTGGTTAAGAAATCAATTTTGGTAGAATAAATGAATTTGTCAGTTTAAATGAAGAATTTTAAACTTCATAGTGCTGCCTCCATTCTTTTATGTAGCTATTAATTTATTTTATATTATTATATATTTTCTGCGTTTCTTTTTAAATTATGGAGCAGTTTTTCCTTTGGAACATTAATTTTAGATTAAATATTCAAATTTCAATTTATAAATTGTTATACATTTACATTTCTATATGTATAACAAAAATATCCAATAAATTTTTCTCAAATCGAATTTAATGTGTAGTAAGTATGTTTGTGTATGTAGATCGAAAACCAAAATGGCAGAACGCAAAAACTTTTTTCTCATTTTTTTTTATTCTCGAATTCGACAAATTACAATAATTATTAGGGTAGGTAGTGGTGCCGTGCCTTCTCTTTTAAAATTTTTGCTCGTTTTTGTTTTTTATATTTTCTTTATTGGTTTTGGTTTTTGAATATTTTGTTATGGTTTGTTCTTTTATAACCTTTACCATCTCTAATTCATTTTGTTGTATTCTTTTCTCTTCTCTGTTTTACTCAATTATTGTTGTTGTTGTGCTTTAATACTTTACGAAAAGATACCGCGTAATTAACCTCTCTAAACCGACAGAATAAGGAAAGCATCACAGTAAAACATTTTCAAAAAATAGAATAAAAAAAATTGTATAATAGTTAAAAATAAAAATATACAGTAGAATAAACCGTTAACCGCTATAAAATAAATAAGAACAAGTTTTTCATTATTTTACTTAGGTTCGACGGGTACGAAAAATTCTCTTCACCATTTGTAACACTAAAAAATAATGGTCGGAGATATGAGAGTGTATGTTTTTGACCAGCGTGGACATCTGAGTCGATTTGACTTTATGTCTGCCCGTCTGTTTGTCCACCCGTTCTAAAGACAACTCAAAAATTGAGCTGAGCTTACGAAATTTTTGCAAATGATTTACAATAGTAAATGCCGAAATCTTATTTAAATTTGATGTAATCACGGCTGTGGTTCGGGTAGCTTCACTACAACTTCAAAATATGATATCCAAATTTGATCATATCTTAGAAGCTATTGGAATTACAGTACTGAAATTTTGCATACATGAATACGGTAATACGGCAAATATGTTCCCTGCAGATGTGTGTTCGAAGTTTATTATATTCTTCCTTATATCTATAGTATTGGTTGAATATTCAGCCGGTCTAACCAATACTATCAGCTATGGCATATTAATTCGTCCATAGCGATAATAAGTTTGTGCAGGTATTGCAGAGTTGACATGATCAACTCAATTTTTCCCGTTTTTTTTCATTTTGTTTTTTGGTTTCTTACCTTTCAAATCTGTCTTTTTCTTTTTTCGCACTTCCGTTTCTTCTTTCATATCCTTTTAAATCACAGAATTTTTATTATATAAAGAGGAACTTTTGATACTGGTTTAATTAGGTAATTTGGTATATAACGGTATACAATAATTTGAAATACCAACATCAATTAATAAAGAATAATGATGATTATAACGGTAGAATGTAATTTGAAAGAAAGAAAAGGAAAATATGGTTGTTTAATCAATTTTTTCCCCGTTTTTTTTTTGTTATTTTTCTTTCGTTTTTATTGAGTAATTTTGTTACTACGATAATTTTAAATGGGATATGAATCATTAAATAATCGAAGAAAAAAGAGAATAAAGAGAATAAGAAGTACTAGACACTAATGGTAAAATAATTGATGAAAAATAAATTTTTGTTATAAATCTTGTCAAATTTGTTAAATTAATTGCAAGATTTTATTCAGACTATCTCATTAAGAATCTCAGGGTCGATTGCCATTTGAGTATATTGAACCAAATGTGAGTTTTGAGAGTTAAACATATTTAAATTTTAACGAAGTCTTATGTAAATGAATGACCAATTACTAATGATAAGTCTTATGTAAAGGAATGACCAATTATTAAGGCGTGGACATTGAAGTTTAATTTCTTATTGTTCTTCTAAGACAAATAATTCTTTGTGCACACTTGTTCTCTCTGTCTTCTTCTTTGGTTTCTCTACATTTCTTCGCCCTTGGGGGCTCCATTCCATGACCTGATGTTCCATAAATGTTACTGGACGCCTTAATATCTGACTAATTCATTTCCATTTTCTTCTTATTTGAATTTCTATTGGATCCTGTCTCGATTACTCATGGCTCATAATTCCTCGTGGCTAGAACATTTTGAGGCATCTATTAATTTTGAGACATCTATTAACGAAGACCTGTATCTTTTGCATTAATGTGATTGTCAATTAAATTTTTTTTTTTTTATTTACAATTTTCCTCTCTTAAATTTCTCTTTATCACACACAGACATATACTACATTTGTTTTTTTCACACAAAATTCCATTCCATTAAATGAGAATAAAATTTTAAATAGGAATTTATTAACTTTTTTATCATACAAAAAATGCAGCACTTAAGTAAATTAAACACTAGTGTGTAAAAAAATGTCATCAAATGAAAAGCAAAATGGATGGTTACTTTAAGAGAAATTTTAATAAAAAAAATATTATGTATGTATGTGCGTGTATATAAACATAAAATAAAACGACCTTATAACACCTTTCGGGAAATAACAGATAATCAAACAGGAAAACTCTCTAAGTACACACATATTAAACGGAGAAAAAATATTGCCTTAAGGTTCTACATATTTTTTACATTATAAATTTCAATTTTAATAATCAGCTTGTAATCAAAACGTATTACATTTTTGCAAGTACTCATTTTTATAATAGAAATCAAATAGAGTGTGTTAAAAAGATCTTGATGTTTATAGCAAGATTATATAAGCAATTAATTCCATAAAATGTTGCTGTATAATATCAAAACCTTTACGCGATGTTGCTTTCTACATTTCCTTTTTTTCTGGGTAGTATAGGGTTTCCTCTCAAAATTTCTCTGTTTTATTTACTTTATTTCGGGCAATATTTCGCTTACCACAGTCTTCAATCTCACCACTGCGTAAGTAACAGTATTACTACTTCTTTAAAATTGAAAACCAGGACAGATTTTAGGAGTGAGCAT